CCTTCCGGATGTTTCAGTTATTTCAACTGTCCAGGTTTTGGGGTTTTCAATTGCTGTACCCTTGTATTGAACTCACAACTCTGGATCTAGTCACAACGACTTTATCCACTGGGCCATGTGACCATAAGCACATCTGTGTAGAAATTTCTGGGACATAAACCTAATGTCACAGTAACCGTTTTTACCAGTGCTCATATTGCAATTTTTCCGTTATTATTATTGCATATTTTTTACCAGAGTTTATATTGCAATTTTGTGTTTTTATTCAACGTTGCATGTGAAACTAGAACAATCTACCCCAGCGGACGAAATAAAGGGTTCGGTTCGAAATCCCAATCACCTGAAGAAGTCTGGAGTGTCCAACGCCGAAACGTTGTGAATATGGCAATGAAGATGAGCGTAACAGTCCGAATAATAATACCTCATCTCAGAGAGAGATATTATCGGTGTTTAACAAAACCTGTTTAAAAGAAATAATGCTACGAAATACGCTTTATATATATATATATATATATATATATATATATATATATATATATATATATATATATATATTAAAGATATTTATATTTAACATTCTTTTATAGATACAGTATTTATAAATGCTCTGTTTATAATAAACAGTATTATAAACAGAGCATTTACTTAAATACTTGTATCTATAAAAAGAATATTAAACATAATTATGTCTTTAATAAATTGTCGGACTTTTGTCCAATTCTTAATGTATATATATATATATATATATATATATATATATATATATATATTGACGAAATTTCCAACTTGTCTGAGAAAGATTATTCGTAATTTGGAAAAGATCGGTCATTAAAATTAATTGCCACAAAATATCTGTTGCCTTTAATAATAAAAATTATAATATATATATATATATATATATATATATATATATATATGTTAAAATAAATAAAACCGTAAGCAAATAAGCCTCGATCACCATAAAGCTGCTGTTGGTTTCAAAACAGAAAGTAAAACAAACAAGTCATTAAAAGTCACATGAAAACGAAATACAAAAGGCTTTTTAAAACCTGGAAATAAAAATGGGGTTGAATACAGATTGGCCCATTTTCAAAAGCCGCCTTTGGTCTTAATTCCATTGCGACACTGAAAAGAATGTCATTTTTTTTTAGTACTAAGACGTTTGACATATTACGTACCTTGTCAAATCCTTCAAACGATTACTTTTTGTTTTGTTGAACAAACTTAAGACAAAAAATTAATATCAATACCTTCGCAACAAAGGCTTAATTAAAAAGTAAATTCTTTAAAATATGAAACTATTTCCAAAAGTATATAACGATGATCCCCGCAAAGCCTTGTCCTCATAATCAATTAGAAGGAATAAATTAACTCTTATAATTAACTTTAACTATTTGGTAATGGTAGAATTAGTCATTTCAACAGAACAAAACATTGGCACTCATTGACCGAAAAGTAAGGTTACTGTCAGCTAAAATTTTTCCGGAAATTAGATTTTCTAGAACTGATGGGGTCTAGTACTGATTTGGGCTTTCATACAGTTTCTTTTTAGTTGTGTGGAAAGCTGACAACTTGAGCAGATCATTATTTCTTCTTCCAGTAGACGTACTAGCCATTGTTTTTCGTCGTTGATGCTTTTGGATGTGTTCAAGGGATGTGGTTTTTGGTTAGTTCGTAAAGCTCATTCTGATCTGTCGAGCCAGTTTATAGGGCTTGATGAAAGATTGTTTTGTTTAAGATTGAAAACAATCTACTCGTGTGTGTGTGTGTGTGTGTGTGTGTGTGTGTGTGTGTGTGTGAGTTGTTACGATTCGGCTAGACAAGAAATAAGGAATGAATGACTGCGACAAACTGTTTGAATGTCACCGCTAGACACCACCTATGCAAAACGATAAACAAGGAAAGTGTGTGTGTGTGTGTGTGTGCGTGTGTGTGTGTGTGAGAGAGAGACACACACACACACACACACACACACACACACAAAAAGACGCACGCACACACACACGGACAAACACATACTCATATATTAACGCATAGACATATACCTAAACATTAAAAAAGCTAGAAAGTTTGATTTAGAATTACTCTACCATGCGTTTATGTAGAATAATTGTACATAATTTAGCCTGATTTTGAAGAAAATCATCTGGCAACCCTGACTTAACACACAGCAGAGGAAAATTTACCATAAAATTCAGTTTTATACATGTTTCACCGCTTGCTTTTTCATTCAGGTGTCAAAATTGGAGATAACTATTTTAGGAAAGAATTTAGTTAGACGCTAAAAATCCTTAAAGTACACGTACAGTAAGTTTTGTTAAAATTGTAATGGGCCAGTACAAGTTTGTCGACAGAAGTTTGTGTTAAGTGGGAGAGCGGCCCTTGAGTCCGGGGTAGGGAAGGCTGCAAATGAGATTTAGTACATTGTGTTCATATTATTTTCACAAAGGGGGAATTGAGATTTTCTGGGGGGAGTAAGACCACTCCCACAGTGACGTATCTGAACCCGAGTAATATTGATGTCCAGGAGATGTGACTGACACACACACACACACACACACACACACACACACACACACACACACACATATATATATATATATATATACACACACGAGAGTAAATCTGAAAGTAAATGCAATTTTGAAATTATACGCTAAAACAACAGTGAAGAGCTGACCCGCCATCCCATGTGTACGCATGGGATGACGGGCAGATAGCCACGCGCAATATTCCACCGTTCAGTCGACTGGTGGGGAGCGACGATGTCAGACGCTTCACTCAATGAATGCAACATCGAGGAACAACACACCTTAGCGCGTTTGCTGTGGACAGAGAGAGTCAAACCTGCGGAAATTAAAATGTTTTATCCCATTAAAAAAAAAATCTGTCAATATTACTAATGACCGGAAGTTTGTTTTCGCTAGGTGTTATATTCTTATGACCTTTTGCCAGATTAAAAGAAGCCAAATACAATCTGGGTGGACGATGGTTAACGAGAATATTTCGAAGACATGTTCATTATTTTAGTGAATTTGCTTTTTATTGGGCGTAGTATTCAAACACTCTTGTATCAGATGATCTCTATCAAATCTCGTTCATCCCAAATGTTGTGTTTAGGCTCAGGCTTCGCTATTGCGGTTTCCATAGCAACAACAAGACGGAGTAGCTAGTCCCATGCCTAACCTGTTTTGAATGCATAGTTGTCTTTTGCCTAGACTGCTTACTAACCAACGCTGAAGAACCCAGTCTGTTCTACTATTTATCGCTTGTGTGGGAATTAGGGTTGCGGTTATGATTCCTACCTTTCCCAAGGGTATTAGTGCGCAAGTGAATGTAACGGTGTCGACTGGAATTCGAACTCAACTTGACGATTCCTTATTATGAGCCGCTAAAACGCCCGCAGATCCTTTTGCATCAGATTAGAGTCAGATGAATAGATCACTATCCGATCACCCACCATAATACGATGGTTAACGAGCTTCTCACGCAGACTGTTGGGATTAATTCAAATCTGACTGGCTGTCGCATAAACGTTGCTTTGTGTTAGGCGAAGATTCTTTCTTTCAGGACGTAGGCGATCATGGCTCTCAACCTCTTTCTATCCCTTGCAGCTCTCAACAAGTTCTTTCCTTCTGTCACCTACCCCAGACCACGTTCTGTCATCCGATTGCGTAAGGCCGCTAGGTATGTTATGTGTTGTTTTCCCTTGTCTCTCTTTCCCTCTAATCGACCCGTGAGTAGCGATTTTCCGAGCGTAGCTTAGATGTGGCACAAGGCCGAAAGTATGGGGCACCCAGTGAGGATCGAACTCACTACTCATTCGTAATTGTGCTAGCGAGACAAGCTTGCTAACCATTGCACCGCCTAGGGGTGCCTAAATCGACCCGTGAGTATCAGATTCCCCAGGCCCTCCTTCCTCATTATATGTCCCAGGGACTTCAGCCGCCTGTTCCTGATGTTAAGTATAAACCTCCTCCTTGTTTGCAACCTCTCTAAGATCTCATCATTGCTCATATGCACGGTCCATGATATCCTCAGCATCCTTCTGTAGAACCACATCTCAGTCGCCTCGAGTCTCTTCTTCATCTTTGAGGTAATCGTCCAACATTCGTTGCTGTAAAGAAGGACATATGTCACGCAACAGCTCAATATTCTTTTCTTTGTTATCAAAGAAATCCCCCTATCTTTCAATACTCTGCCCAGGTTTTGGAATTCGTCCTTGGCCATCCCAATACGTCTACGGATCTTAGTGTCGCATTTACCGTCCTCTGTCAGAACGCTTCCCAGATATTTAAACTTCCGAGTCTGCTTGATTCTAGAAGTTTACTTAGTGACAGCTTATAGACAAACTTTTCGAGAAGAAAAATGACAGTCGCGGTAGACGCCAGAATTTGAACGCTGGTCATGTGTTTCATACTCAGAACAGCTGGAAATATCAAGTTGACCAGGCAAACAGGATGCGAGTGGCTTTCTCTTAAAACAAACAAAGCTAAACTTTAGCAGCTGCAAGACGATCTTATCTCGTTAAGTGATCAGGATTTCTGAGTAGGTTTCGCAGTGCAATTTCAAGCGTAAGTCTTGATGAGATGGCAATTTTCGAAAAGAAAACTGACGTCCTAATTTTGCTTGAATCAACACGGAATTATTTGCAATACCAATTCTAATTTCTTTCATTAATAGTTTTTTTCATTACTGGTTATGGTTAATCTATCTATCTATCTATCTATCTATCTATCTATCTATCTATCTATCTATCTATCTGTATCGATTTCTTTCTTTTTATCTGTTTATCGATTTAGGAAAATAATTCTATGTCGATCTTTATACACATAAATCTAATTAATAATAATAATATTTAATTATAATATAATTTTACATCGTCATATATATCAACGACTTGCACGACAGGGAATATTCAATTAGCTCAGGTCAATATATATATATATATATATATATATATATATATATATATATATATATATATATATATATTGATATTATAAATTTAGATAGATAGATAGATAGATAGATAGATAGATAGAAAAAAAAATAAATTGAGATAGATAGAAAAAGAAAGAAATTGCGATAGATAGAAAAAAAGAAAGAAATTGCGATAGATAGATAGATAGATAGATAGATAGATAGATAGATAGAAAAAAGAAAGAAATGGAGATAGATAGATACATAGATAGATAGAAAGAAAGAAATGGAGATAGATAGATACATAGATAGATAGATAGAAAGAAAGAAAGAAAGAAAGAAAGAAAGAAATTGAGATACACGACTCGAATAGCATCGTCTGTTTGGTCAATGCATGACGATTGTTTTTTTTTGTCAGGAAACGGATAATATTGCCATTACAATAAAAGACGTAGAGAATAGATACTGCACTTGTTATTTACTTGTACCAGCCACCGCGAGCATCGGTTGTGCTGTCATCGGCGTCACTATCGACCTCCCTCCTCTTTAGTGCAATGTGGGAGGTAATGCCGCCGGTAGCTCTTCCACGGAACCGGGCACATCTGAATATTTTTTTTCAGCAGATCTCTGTCCAAAGACAAAGATACAACTGATTTGTGTTCATTCTGAAGACAGAAACACGATTGAATGATAAAATGTTATTTATCCGCCCGAAAGCAGATAATATATTTTTATCCCAGCCGGCTTACCAGGGAGTGAGGAAAAGCGTAACTCGAGTAGAAATGGCTGCTCGGTCAATAAATGCCAGTTTTTTTTGTTTTTTTTTTTAATTAGGAAACGGCTAATATTATTATTATTATCATTAGCATTTATACGAGCATCCTCATTGTTGTTCTGGTCATTATTCTCGACCGATGGTTTCTTCGACCTTATCTAAGTGTATGTCGTATCAAGCATTTTTTCTCTGTTTCATTTGATCTAACAACTCATAGAAATTGGAAACACTCACCCCAACAACCACATAAAAACTTATATATAAACAAACAAAAACACAAAGAAACACATAAAAACAAATGAAGGATTGTCAGATTTGAGAAATGCTGAAGAGGATACTTGCCGAAACTCAAGTAGCAAACGATATTTTAATTTATCGAGAATATATCGAATCAAATTTCACAAAATTTAAAAATCGAAGATAACATTTCAAATGCTGGATTTATCAAAGATATGTGAGCACATTCGATGGTATGTGTCTTTGCTGCAGATATTTAATCAAACATTAAAACCAAAACAGTAATAAACAAATAAATGACATCTAGGGAGAAGTTGGAAGAATATAAATATTTTTTATTTTCTATAAACAGAACGTGCTAACAAAGTGTAGAAATATATTAACCGCCTTTTTTCCAACCATGAAAAGCTGTTACAAAAGCTGTCTTTACTACTCACAAGCCCCGCACGCCGTGTTGCAGGAATTTACTCGTTCCCCCATTAGAACAAGATGTGACACAAGATTCGGTATTAGTGATTGGCTGTTAAAAGTCTAAGCTGAGAGCGATGCATACTAATTAAGAGAAAGGAAGAAAATTTAACCTAACATGAAATTAAAACATTAAAAAAAAAATTGCGGTTCTTAAAATTTAGTATTTGTTGAATCTAACTTAGTCTGTAAGAAGCCCAAGTAAAAGCGAAAGGTGTAAGATTTTAAAGTCGGTAGAGCCCGCTGTATTGAATGGTCAAGTAACTTCAACTTGTAAAATAGTGAAAATTAATTTTCTAACTACAGTTAAAAGCATCAGTGAATTGGTTGGCAATGCATTGAAGCTGTTCATTCCTGCAAACCAGAAATCAAGAAGAAGAGAAGAAGAAGAAGCTTTATACTGAAACATTCAAGTGACTAGCAGGAATAGATAGGTTTGATAAGAGTAGATAGGTTCACATATCGTCCGGTTTAGAGACACAACCGATCTTTTGGACAGGAGCAGAGGTCTATCTCTTGTTTCTTGTTTTGGATGAGGTTTCCTGTTTCGTTTAATGTATTTTCATTCTCTTTCATTCTCAGTAGTCCCTTGCGTCTTAGTGGCGTCATCACCTTGCTTGGGGTGAATTGATAAAGAAAGAAAGAAAGAAGAAGAAGAAGAAAAAGAAGAAAGGAAGAAGAACAATAAGAAGAGGAGGAAAAGGGAGAAGAAGAACAAAAGGAAAAAGAAGACCAAGAGGAAGAACAACAACAATAAGAAGAAAAAGAAGAAGTAGAAGAGGAAGAAGAAGAGGAGGAGGAGTTAGAAGAAGAAGAAGAAATGAAAAACGAACTGTGGAATCGCAAATACTTAGTCCAAATGGCAGAGCTTAGAATGAAACACACATATATATATATATATATATATATATATATATATACAGATGATTAAATCTATGGCTTTCAAGGAATCTAAAGAGTTAAAGTGTTTCGAGAACGCCACCGTGACCTACTGAAGAACAAGTTGGCTACAACAAAAAAAGTAGTAGAAAACAAATCCAGTACTTTCTCCATCCTAACTAGAATAAAAAAAAATACAAAACAAAAAAAAAAGTACTAAAACAAAAAAGAAATTACTTGGTAAAGTCAAAACAATGTTGTAAAAAAGAAAAGCGAACAATAAAAATAAAAAGACGACGTCTGTTTTTTTTTTTTTTTTATTTGCTTCTTTTTGACATCATCCCTCCACAAACCCCAGACTCCATTTCTGCCCAGACAGACATAACAACAAAAAGGACAAGAAGAGAAAAAGGCAAGATTTTTTTCTTGTCCAAGGAGACCAGGTAAATCGCAAGTTGAAAACAACAGAACCGGCATTATTCCACAATATGGTTGTGCAGGTGTTTCCTTGTAAGACAAAATGAACATTACAATCTTACCACCGCCACCACTGCCATCAACATTAATACTACTACTATTACTACTACGATTGTTCTTGTTGCAGTTACTTTAGCAACAGTGGAATTAACAGCAGCAGCGGTAACGGTTCCATCAATAACATTAACAATAAAATATAATGCTGCGACTTCAGTTTTCAACTGCGTCATCAATTATAACTAGTTACTGACACCGTCAAAAAATGTCGGCATATTTCAGTAAATTTTGCAATTGCGCTGGTCATATTTTTGCATGAAAAATTAAGGATTTTTATCTATACATTTAACTCCCTCTCTGTCTGTCTGTCTGTCTGTCTGTCTGTCTCTCTCTCTCTCTCTCTCTCTCTATATATATATATATATATATATATATATATATATATATGGCGTATCAAAGAATTACGCTTTTAAACTATTAAAACTAAAATAACTAAAGAACTCTAAGAAACAAAACGCAACGGTTACTCATCTTATATTCACTTGTTGTTTCCAAACTAAGCATGCTCGCTTTGACGGGCGTCGAATAATGCCTCTTATTATCATAACGGAATATTACATTACTAAATAGCGAGACCAGGTTGTGTGACCGATAAATACAAACCGATAAATATACACGTCTAGAAGTTATAAAAATACAAGTTTATTTTTAAAGGCAAGTTTAAAATTGGTCCAGATTTTTTTATAAAAATGCTTAAAAGTTATTTAATGCATTTTCTGCGCCGTTGTAAATTTTCATTTTTATTCTTCATTTCAGGAAAACTTTTTTTTTTAAACATGAAAAAACTGATGTTCAATAATTATAAAAACAGTTTATTTTTTTAAGTGTCATGTTCCCCCAGGACGTCGGCGATCATGGCTCTCCACCGAGAACTTTAGTTTATTATCTAGGTGATTTAGTAAGTGTGCATTACTTGTGTCAAAAGATCGAAAACAAGGAGGACACAGTGAGGATCGAACTCACCACACAGTTTTAATTAATCTAGCGATACAAGCTTGTTAACCATAACCCCACGTCGAAGTGCCAAATCTGAGAATTATAATGACTTCTTGAGAAAGACAGTGGAATGGTCCCCTGTTGCCTTCACTGCAGTTTTGAATTCAGAGTTTTCTTTTCCCACTTCAGGTCCTAGATGATCACTGCTCTCCACAGATTCCTTCTCTTGGTTACCTGTTAATTGTCATGAGTTCCTGTGGAAGAGAGTGGAGAAGTTTCCCGTTGCCTTCTCCAATGTTTGAAATTCAGGGTTTCCTTCTCTTAGATTGGTTGTCACTTAAGGATCGTTAGGTCAGTCGACCCTCTTATTTAATCTACAGATGGAGGTGGAGTGAAGAGATGGATTCATGCTTTCCCCAAGGTAATGTGTGTGAAAGTGAATGCAACTGATTAGGTCGGACTTTGAACTGGTATCGCCGATTTCACTTTGAACGGTAACAGTTGCACTACCCGCATACGAAAACAGTACAAAAGTCAATAGATTTTGTTAACGAAATATCACCCTTCAACGAGAAATTGCGACGAGACAAGTTGTAATTTTTTACATTACAGTTCAACCTCGGTTCTCGAACGTCTGAAATGTCGAACAAATCGGTTTTCGAACAGAATATTGAAGATGAAAATGCCTCGGTTATCGAACAAAATTTCGTTTTTTCGAACAACATTGCCGAGCCGAGTTAACCCGAACGGAATCATTTCTGAGTTGACCGCCATGTTGTATACATTCGTGTGTTATACTGTGCTTTTCTTTTCCAATGTTATGGTATTGTGCCTATATTTTTCTCTTCATTAGTCCTCAATCATGGCTCTAAAGAAAGCTAGCAGTGATACTAGTAAAGGAAAAAGAAAAATTAAGAGTAAAACAATTGTTGATGATATTGTCTCTATGATATTGTCTCTTCCAATTCAGTTTCATATGGCAAAATCAACGATCTATATACTCGTCTTATAAATAAAGAGACGATCATTCTTTCCTTTTCTTTTCCAAACAATAACATCTCTTTCTTTCCCCTTTCAACTTACGCCATCAACTCTCTTACAAGAAGGTACGGTAAAATTGAAGTGTTCGTCTATATTTTATCTATTTAGTTTATTTCTTTCTTTCTTAGATTTAATGATTTTCATTAGTTTTGTGTACAAACCGGTGTACAAAGTACTGTTGTTAAAGTTTAAATAAGCACTCATCTTGGGACCAGGAACGGAATAATCCATTTTACATTGATTCCTATTGGAAAAATAGTTTCTGTTTACGAACATTTTGGGTTACGAACAGGCTTCAGGAACGAATTAAATTCGTGAACCGAGGTTCCACTGTATTTACATTGTTCGGACAGTTGTCATCATCTTTATTGTCATATTCACGACGTTTCTGCCGTTCTTCAGGTGCTTAGAATTTCGAACTGAACACTTTATTTCACGCAACGGGGGCAGATTGTTCTACTTCCACGTGCGATGCATCTTCCGGTTGTCTCAGTTATCTCCCTTTAACTCAACTCTACAGGTTTTTGTTTTCCACTGTCGTAGCCAGAACTCTTTGGGTCAAGTCACTGGATTAAACCAATGCTTTTATTCACTGCGTCATGTGTCCTTGACGACACAGTGTATGAATTTTAGCGACTTATAAAATTAATATCTCAGTAACCTTTTTTTTACAAGAGCTCGTATTGCAATTTTTGTTGCTATTCATTGCTTTTCTCTAGCACTTGCTGTTACTGGTTCACATATTGTATTCATTTCTATGCTTGGCCGGCTTAGGGAATTTTTGTGACTTAGCATATGTGCTGATTCCTTAAGTTTTCGTATTTTCCAGTGATGTTCTCTGTTTATTATTTCAACTTCATCCCACAGGCGGCAGTGATCTCCCTTATCTCTCCATATGTGGTCAGCTACGCCTGATTAAAATAAAAGTGCTAGAAGGCAGCGGAAATCCTTCAGGATCATATGCGTTGTGTCAGGAATGTGGAATGTTACGGAACTTGTGTGGCAGAAATAGGATTCAAGATTTCAAGATGTGCTTCCGCTCTGGCCTGCAAACTGAGATTAACAGCAACAACCCCAAACAGATATTGGGCCAGAACAACCTTTATACAACCAGGGTTATCGCAGATATTCTTCAAACATACACACGTGAGCAGGCTCGATGTTTGGGTCCCACATCAATTGAATGAGCTTAATATATATATATATATATATATATATATATATATATATATATATATATATATATATAAGTACCTTTTACGTTATTTTTGGCGGATAAATTATTTATTTATTAAACAGTATATTTATTTATTTTCGTCTACCGGCCCGAATGTTCAAGAAATTTTGTTAAAGAAAAATATCTGGTAGGATCTGACACCCTGGGCAGAGGCAGCTGCTGCTAAATCTGGCACGCTCTGATCGACTGAGTTACAGAAAGTCTTAGCCGATCAGGCAAGGTCGAAATAAACGGAGCGTCTACTTAAAAAATACGGGTATCCACTAAAAATAACGTTTAAAGTGATAATAGCTGTCCAATTAATAAAAAATTACTTCTTTAGAAAATATGAAAGTATGGATGGTATATATATATATATATATATATATATATATATATATATATATATATATATATATTTTAGTCCCAAGCAATGATGTGAATGTGCACCTGTGTGTATATTTAGACAGCATATCTTCATTCAAACATGTATGGTTGAATAATTTAGACATACAATATCTATTCATTTAATTATAATCCTCTCATATTCACGGATGTTTTTCATAATGTTGTAATTAAACTGATTAAGAAAGACACCGTAGATTTTCTCATTCTTTTTTATTTTCCCATGTACTTTCAATCTCATCCAAGATCGTCTTCAGGGGCGAATTGCTAAGACAAAGAATTAATGCAATTCACAGTTATGAATATTTGCGCATGCGCATGAACGCGCTCTGTTGATTCAAAATGTACCGCGATACAAAGGTGGCAGCTTAATTTATTTTGTAAAATTTAAAAAAAAATTGCAATTTACGTTTTTTAAACATTCTGTTATAATTGTAATTTTTTCGATAATTTCTATTTAGATATTTTAAAACCATGCTATTATAAACATTTTAAAGTTTGTTGCTATACTCATAATCAATAAGTACATTTATTTA